GGGTCTGGAGACCATTTTATTCTGATCAAAACAGAGATTTTTTATGAATTAGTGATCAATAAATTTGACCAAGTCTTATACTACATCAGTGTATTTCATGAAAAATGGCTAGAAGAAAATTCTCCATTTTTAATACATTTTCTGATGCATATACATGTACTTATGTTATGTACAGATAGTTTGAGCTGATTCCAATCAAGTTTGGATTTTTTACGAATTTTCAAAGTTGCTCCAAAATTGGGGAATAGCCCCTGTACAGGGTCTTCCACCAATAATGTCTAGGAGAGAATCCTTCATTTTAATAAATTTTATGTACATGATTGTTGCATAAATAGTACATGTACTTACTCAAATACTTTTCTCAGTTTCTGTTCATCGGCCCCAAAAGGTACATTACCTACAAACACAGAACAGTGAGTGTCCTTAGTGGGTGTGACCAGATCAACCCTAATATGTCTCCCATCAACCTCTCGTCCGTTCAACTCCAAACAAGCACTAGCAGACTCCTCCGTCTCCATAACAACATAGAAATTAGTTGTTGTCCCTGTCAACTGTATTCCAAGCTTCCTAACAAACAACTTCAACAGGAAGTTTACCAGGAGAAACTGCAACTGATCGTTGCCGTAGCGATTCGACCGAACCAAATGGGGAGGCCTAGACTAGGGGAGGCCAGCTTGAGTATGTCCTTCTTTTTAGTTGATAGAGGAACGTTACCAATAAATACTGTACGAGGGTTTTGAGGATCATTCTTATTAGTAGTATTTCTATTTCTGCTTGTACTTAGGTCCTAGCTCCACAAAGAGACAGAAGAGCTCACAGCTAGGACTCGGCGAGTCCTAGCTGTGAGCTCTTCTCTTTGTGGCTTTTCTTCTCTTCATCTCGAGATCTATCCCACTCTTTTCCTCTTTAAAGTTATTGGGTGTTCTTTCTTTCTTTGTGGTGGGTCTGGAGGAGTCGATAGCTTCTCTTTCGCTTCTTTAAACAAAGCACTCAACTTTGCCTGAGCAGCCATTTTGAAATGTGAAAACACGTGGGTGGCTGCCTGCAAATGATTCAATGCAGGGTTCAATGTGCATGTATAAAAATAGCGAAAACAATGCATACATGTCGTGTATAAAAACTAGGAGGCTATGAAGTCTGGCCCCTACCACTACTAGGAGACTGGAGTGACTTCCTCCTTTCCTATAGATTGCAGTCAGTGAAGTCTTCATAACTATTTTTAATTTTAATGACAAACGTTTTACCTTTTACTGAGCTCATTACAGATACATGCACATCTCGACATAAATTTGGAACATTACAAATTACAATTAATTTGAATTCCTACACAACATGATAATCTGTACACACATTATAATGTGTTGTGTTGGTGGCTCATTTAGCATTACTGCACAGCATTAACTGTAGAACAGGCAATGACAGTTCAAATCACCATATAAATACATGCAATTAAAATTTAAAAGAATTATTTCTTAAAAAGATTAAAACTAGTATATAAATCTCTTGTTTCAGTCTTGAGTATCATTCCACTTGATATTTCATCTTTATTTCAGCTTGATCCAATCAATAATAACATTAAAATCCTGATGTATACTTACCTTTAGTATATTCTTCTAGTATGTAGTGCTCTTAGCATCACTAGCAGTAGTAGCCACTAGTGATCCCAGGCAGCGCCACGTGGAGGCGGCACTACATTGCTGCCCAAAAATTATAAAAACCTGGGGCTCCAGGTAAAAAAATAAAAATAATAATAAATGATAATAAAAAAAAAATAATAATAATAATAAAATAATATAATAATAAAAAAATAATATTGAATTATAAAAAATAATAAAATAATAATAATAATAAATGATAAAACCTAAATCTATAACCTATACCTACACTATATAACCTATATCCTACAACTACCTGTTTCTTAATTTCTATTATAACTACTTTCTATTTCTACTATACAATACCTATACTATAACCTAATGATAACTATACCTGCTTCCTAATCTCTACCTACACTATACCTATAACTACCTTCTAATTATTATTTTATTCTAATTATTATTAATTATTATTTTTCTACATAAATCGGACGAGAGGAAAATAATATTAATAATACATGTACATGTACT